CCAAAGTGCTGGGATTACAGGCTGCACCACTGAGCCTGGCCTGAATGTGGATTTTTAAGGAATTGACACATTTTGACAGTAGACTCTCAGCAAATAATTCAATGGGTAATACTTACGACTTTTTTATTTAAGTAACTCTCCTCATATCTTGTTTGTTCTTTATTTTCTAGGAGAGCATAGATTATCTGATTTAAGAACCCTGAAGACCCAATGCAGCATATATTTTATTTGTAAGCATGTTACTTTTTCAAACATGTAACTATATCCCAGCTAGTATATTTCACTGATCACTTCATTTCATCAATAAATTCATTGAATTCATCACTCTGGCTTATTTAATGTCCTTTCAAAGTACTAAAAGTCTCATGACCAACATTCTATTTCAGAGAGCTAAATATGATTTCATCTTTGATTGCTTAGATTAGAACGTTTATGTTTTACTCTGCCTCTCAAGATGCTTTATAAATCAAAAGTTCTTGGTGGCTCAGCCTGTAATCCCGTGCTTTGGGAGGCCGAGGTGAGTGAATTGCCTGACCCTGTGCGTTCAAGACCCACCTGGGCAACTTGGCGAGACCTCATCTCTACAATAAATCAAAAATTAGACGGGTGTGGTAGCGCGCACCTGTAGTTCCAGCTACTTGGAAGGCTGAGGCGGAAGGATCGCCGGAGCCCAGCCCATCGAGGCTGCAGTGGCTGGGAATGTGTCACTGCACTCCAACTCAAAAAAATCAATCAATCAATCAAAAATTCTTAGTAGTCAAATTTCACATCTCATCTTGGCAAAAAAAATTCTTATTTTACACTTACAAATTGAAGCTGATTTATTTATTTAGGGGAGGATATACTTGAGTTTGTTAGAAAAGCAGAGATTCACTTTACCAACCAGATGAAAACATTTCACTTCTCTACTACATTTCATTGCTACTATGTGTAATGTATGAAAGTACAAATCAGGCCAGGCATTGTGGCTCACACCTGTAACCTCTCCACTTTGGGAAGCTGAGGAGGGAGGTTTGCTTGAGGCCAGTTCAAGACCTACCTGGGTGACATAGTAAGCCTATCTCTAAAAAAAAAATTTTTTTTTTTTAAATTAGCCAGTTGTAGTGGCACACACCTATACTCCTAGCTACTTGGGAGGGTAGGAGGCAGGAAGATCTATTGAGCCCAGGAGATCAAAGCTGCAATGAACCATGATTGTGCCACTTTATTCCAGCCTGGGCAACAGAGACCCTGTCTCAAAAAAAAAAAAAAAGTACAAATCGCCAGGTAGGTATCTCTTATGTGCAAAACTTTCTTGGGGTGGGGGGTGGGTAGGGAAGGACTGAAAATAAGCTAGGTTTGTGGTTACTATACAATTTACATGGATTTCTTTTTTTTTTTTTTGAGTCGTAGTCTTACTCCGTCGCCCAGGCTGGAGTGCAGTGGCACGTTCGTAGCCACCACAGCCTCAACCTGCTGGGCTCAGGTGATACTTCCGCCTCAGCCTTCCAAGTAGCTGAAACTACAGGCATGCGCCACCATGCTCAGCTCATTTTTCTTGATTTATTGTAGAGATGAGGTCTCTCCAAGTTGCCCCGGCTAGTCTCAAACCCGTGGCTCAGGTAATCCTCTCACCTCAGCCTCCCAAAGTGTTGGGATTATAGGTGTGAACCACTGTACCAGGCCTAGATTTCTTTTTTTTAAATCCAATACATTCTGCGTGGAAGTTACATCTGTTCTCTAGATGTCGCTATTGATCTTCATAGGATTGTTATAGTCAATTTGGTAACAGTTCCAAAAACAAGAACCAAATTTAACACTCAGTAAGTTGAGATTTTGAGGGTTTTTTTTGCATAGTAATATCTGATAATCTTTTGTATTGAGAAGTTTTTTTTTTTTTTGAGTTGGAGTCTCACTCAGTCACCTGGACTGGAGTGCAGTGGCTGCTCCCGGCCACCGCAGCCTCGACCTGCTGGGCTCTGGCGATCCTTCCACCTCAGCCTTCCAAGTAGCTGGAACTACAGGTACGCGCTACCACGCCCAGCTAATGTTTCCTTCTTTACACATGCCTATCCTGGGTCAGAAAATAACAGAACCTCCCAATGATATTTTTCCCATGGCAGTCTTTTATGAGAATTATCCACAGTTTAAGAAGAAGATGTCTGGGACTGTATCAAAATATGTGACAGTAGTTGGAGAACTGTCTCAATTGGTCAGTGAGTGGAATCTACCGGAAGTCTCAAGGCTTGAGCAAGAACTGGACTGTTTTTAATGACCATTCTAGTGCTTTCCAGGCCAGTCCAATCTGATGAACACCTGCTATGCGTAAGGCACTGTGCCAAGTAGAGCAAGAGACACAAATACAAGTAGTCCTTTCTCATGAACCTGGAATTTATTCTAACAAGGATTTGAGACAAGAACACAAATTAATATTGTTTAAGGTAGATATATAATAAGAGCCATGGGAGAAGTATATTGTATAATCTCCTAGGTTCAGTTAATTGAGTATCTGTGAAGGCAACCTAGTCTTATTAGAAAGAGCACCGAGCTAGAAGCAGAAGATCCGGCTTACTATTTAATTTTTACTTACCATTTATTCTTATTTATTAATTAGACTTATAAATTATATAAATGTGCAAGTTAAATTCATCTGTTATACAATTAATTTTATAAATGAATTAATATTAATACTATTTATTGTTTTGATAAGATCTTGGTTTACTATTTACTGGCTTTGGGACTTGGAGTTGTTGATTTAAAATCTCTGAGATTTAATCTATTTGTAAAATAGGTATAATAATACCTACTTCATAGGATTGTTAGGAAGACTTTAAAAGATACAGTATATATTAAAATGCATTATCTAAGTTTTTTTATTGTTGAAGATCTGCTTAGCAGTCTGCAAAAGTGAATGTCTGCTGTATGTACATACTGCTGCTATGAGAATTTAGGAGTACAAAGATGAATAAGATACCATCTTATTCCTCAAAAAGCTTGTATTATACTAGGGGAGAAAGAAATTTAAACCAGGAATTACCCAGAATGTATTTATTAAAAATTGTGTATTTATTCTTACAGGTTTAAGCTTTAGTCACCTTAAAAGTACTCTCCGCTTGATGGCAATACACCTATCGAGATGCTTTTTCCACTGCTCAAAACAGTTTTTTAAATCTCGCCTATTTTAATGCCTTTTAGTGCTTCTGCCATTTTTTGTTTCACTGATTCCACACTGGCAAAACATTTCCTCTTGAAGACTTTTTTCATCTGGGGAAACAAAAAAGTCACTTGGGGTGAGATGGGGTGAATAGGGAGAGAGGGGCATGGGGATCATGCCATTTTGGGTCAAAAACTAATGAACAACCAGTACGGTGTGGGCAGGTGCACTTGTAAATCACTCATCATGAATGGACAAGCAAGTTGAAAGAATATCCAAAAAACAAAATTCACTGAAGCCGAACACAGCCTCTTACTACAATGCTAGCTGTACACTGATGCCATTGGGTTCCTAGAACACTTACCAAGCAGGGGAATCCTGTACTACAGGGAGTTCGTCTTCTAAAAAATAATTCTTTTTTTTTTTTTTCTGGGGTATCCCCATTATACAGAGAAGGGACAGCTGTTTTCCTCAAGAATGAGGAGCTTCTTAGAGAAAATGGCATTAGAACTGAGTCCTCCAAGCAGTGAAAAAGGAGAAACATTCCCAGCAGAGAGAATGAAGGCATGGAGATGTGAAAAAAAATATATGTATATGTACATACGTGTATTAAATACATATTTTTAAAAATGTATGTTTTTTCTCTCTATATAAAATATATATTGGAACAGTTCAATGCATATATACATTGGAGAATAGCTCAATGTAGCTAGTGCAGAGTACAAGATGAGGAATAGTCTTAGATAAACTAGAATGACTGACTGAGATTAGGTTATGGCCATTAAAAGGAGATTGGTCTTTAATTTTAAAATGATGGGAACTACTGTAGGATTTTAGAAGAAAAGTGACTTAATCAGATCCTGGCCTTGGGAAATTTATAGTCTAGTTGAGAAAAAAAACTAAAGCATAAGAAAAAATTTTATAGTATTTCAAGGTGATATTTAATTAAGTCAAAATTATAATACTGTGATAGGATTTGAGGTTATTAAGAATGAATAGAATTTGAGGAGGACTTTAATCAGGATAACAGAAAAGGAAAGATACAAAAGTATTCATGAAATAGTAAAAAGTCTGACCTGTTGGGAGTGGGTATGGAAGAGAAATAGGAGATGAAATGGAATTGGTAAACAGGCACCAGTTTATAAGCTTGTGAAGAAAGCCTGTATGAGGAATTTATGTTTACCGATAGACTAGATCCAGAATAGGATCTTATGTAAAATGCTGAGCTGATGAAAGCAATATTTTAGGAAATTTAATCTAGTAAGAATGCTTTAGAGATAAAAAAAAAAAACTGAAGTCAGAGAGGCTTGTAGACATAGTGATAGTAGTAAAAATATGCAGCAAGAGGCAAATCTGAGAAACATTTCAAAGGAAGAAAGCAATTAAATGATAGATTGGATATAAAGATAGAACAAATCAGAGATAATTCCAAAGTTCCTGAGAAATAACATAATATGTCACTGATAAATAAGGAATAAGAATCCTTTGCGAAATAGCCATTTCTAAGCCACTTACAAGAAGCATACTTCCTTAATAATTTCTTTAATTATTTCTTAATAATTTATTTCATAATTCCTTAATAATTTCTTTCTTCCCCCACTGCAATTCTACTTTATTTTATAAAATAAAGTCAGCCTAGTATATTAGAAATAACACAGGCTTTGGAGTCAGACTGTCCTGGCTTATATCCTGTCTCTACCTACCAAAGTTTCTTTCGGAAAATTACTTTGCCCAAGCATCAAGGGATAATGATTTCAAACTTTCAGATTGTCATGAGGATTCAATTAGATATTAAAATGTTTCACATAGAATAGGTGCTTTGTAAATGTTGGTTCTGTTCCTGTAAGCATAATTTTTTTTTTTTTAACAGAGTCAGAGACCTGGCCTTTCTTTCCACATGCCCCTCCTAGCATAATTTTTTAATACATGATACAACCAAAGGAAAGAAATCCACAGGTAGGTCCTCTGGTTATAACAAAGGTCTTTACTGGGATTTATGAGTGTAATTGTTGGGTTTTTTTAATTATTTCAAAATGTTTATCAAGACTTTCTCTGAAAATACCACCATCTTGAAAATCATAAAGATGCTATTTACTTTATATTTATGTAAAATGCTTCTGTCACCTCTGTTTTAATTTTGTCACGGTGTTCTTAAATTTTCACAAAGAATCCTCAGTTCTTTAGGCTGATTTTATAATTTTTAATTGTATTAAATTATAATTCTTAAATAGATAATGTGTTTGGTAAAAGAGATGTATAGTAAAAACTGAGTCTGTTGATAGTTTCATATGTATCCTGACAGTTATTCCATGTATATGTAAGTCTGTGTATGAGTGTGTGTGTACGTCTTTCTTTTTAAGTTCCCATGGTACCATATTGTACATAGAGTTCTGCATTTTGTTTGTTCATTTAACCATGCATCTCAAAGACCATTCCAGATCAGAACCTAAAAACTCCCTATTTTTTTTTTCAAGTTAAAATATTTTATTCTACCTGATCTCCAGACTTGTTACAAGCTACAGTGATTATGGCAGAGTAATATTGGCAAAATAATAAACAAAAAGGACACAGCTGGGCATGGTGACTCATGACTGGAATCCCAGCATTTTGGGATGCTGAGGCGGGAGGACTGCTTGAGGACAGGAGTTACTGACCAGCCTAGGCATCATACAAAAAAAATTATCCGGATGTGGTCCCAGCTACTTAGGAGGCTCAGGCAGAGGAGTCACTGAGCCCAGGAGGTTGAGGCTGCGGTGAGCCATGATGGTGCCACTGCACTTCAGCCGAAATGACAGAGTGAGACCCTGGCTAGAGCATAATCTTGTGCTCTTTCTTGTCCAAACATGATGAAAAAAATCCAGTTGTGAGAAAGAATATTTTTGGAGTATTGCCTTGGGTCATGGAGTCTACCCATTCCCCTAGCTGTTCTAAATATTACCCTGGGTTCAGCCCTGCATATTGGCCAGCACTGTTTTGGTCCTTCATAGAACTATAACTTCTCAATTATCCTTTGGAGATATTCTCACCCTAGCTGGCATTTCAAGGCTCTTGTTTCCCAGGCTGATTTCAAACTCTGAGCCTCAAGTGATCATCCCATCTTGCCTCCCACAGTGCTGGGATTAAAAAAAAACTCCCTATTTTTAACCACTAAATAGTATCCTTTGTAAAGATGTATTATAATCTATCTAACTTGACCAACTTGCTTTAAACAACACTACTAACAATAGTTTTTAGTTGTTTTATGGGCCTCATAGAAGTATTTCTATACTTATTACAATAAAATGAGTTTTCTGCTTCTGTTAAATAAAAACAACATTTTGTCCTTAACTATTTAAATCGAAAATGATAGAATCAAAATCACTATCCAATTTTAGTGTCTTTATTTGTATCTCTACCATATGGAAAGCAGTTACAAAAAGTTATTGTAGTTCCCTGCCTGAGACTTTATTTTTTGTTCATGTTAAGAGATAAAGAGATACTTTAAAAATATAAACTCTATTTGTGATTCACTTTATATTTTTAAAATTTATCTTTTGAAATTTATCTTGTCCAGGGTATTGGGGTTTTACAGTGAGCAGTTGATTTGGATTTTCCCATCATAAAGGGTTTATTTGGCAACATATTTTAAATAGTCTGTAAAGGGAACTTTGGTTTAATAGTGACTAGATGCCAGGGGTCTGACCCCTAGAGATTATAGCATTCCTTGGCTTGACCTTAGATAATAATATATCATGAAGTAATGAAATGAGATTTTTGAGTAGAGATGGGGTTTGCTTTATTGACTAGTAAGTGTATCATGGTAAGAAAAAAATACTCATATATTGCTAAAAATTAACTTATAGATTGTTGCCATTCTAACCAGTTATTCTACAGGCTAACAGAAATTTGATTTAAAAAGAATTTTACTAGAAGCAAAATGCAGTGTACTACCATTGAAACATATCCATATCCTCAGAAGAGATTAATTTGATTTGTAATGAAGATTTTTCATATCATAAAGAGATATCAGGAAATGAGCAAATTCACCCCCATATACGTCTCACCCATGTTGTCATATCACAGTTTTCATCTAGAGAAAGGAACTAGTCTGTTTTATCTTTCCTGACCTTGTGTAAAATATCTCAAGTCATCCTGATAATGACACATAATAAAGTCTCAATAAATATTTATTAGAAAAATTAGGAGGAAGAGTTCTATTTGAAATAATATAGAATAGTGGCTAAAAGTTTGGGCCTTTGATGGCTTAGGTTTGAAAATGATTCTTAACCACTCTAAGCCTCAGTCTGTCTGTAAAGTGGGAAAAAGATAACAGTACTTACCCCAAAGATTGTTGTAAGGGTGCAATGTAAAGCACTTCATATGGTACCCAGGAGTTACGACTTTCAACAAATATTAATTGCCACCATTATGAGTATTATTACTTGATGATACATTCTACTTTCTTTTCTTTCTCTCTCTCTCTCTCTTTTTTTTTTTTTTTTTTTGACAAATCCTTCACTACATTTTATTTTCTCAATCCAGGACATGTTTTTTAGTTCACTGATAGCCTTGGATCTTTCTCTAATTTCAGAAAGATTTTTTGTTTTATTTTTTTCTTCTCATTACAATTATAAGAAATTAGGGCACATAGAACTGACAATTTTACTTTGATCAGTTAAGTATGAAAATGATCCTTTTTCTCTAAACTAATATTTAGCCAGTATTTTAGAAACAGGGTTGATCAACAAAAGACCTACTGCAAAGCTAAACTTTATGTTAACTGGTCACTAAGAAACAGCACACTGACTCAGATATGTTTGCCACTCAGTGGAATTGGGTCCTGCATACTTTATATCATTTTTCCTAGATAAGCTCCTTATAGTCCCACAACACTGTCCTCTTGAACTGCTAGATTAGACTCATTTTTATTGTATCAGCATGTTGAAGACTTCGGCCAATTCTATTTTGCTGTCCTAACTTGTTGGTTTGTTATGCACTGACTGTTTACTACATTAATATGATAGTGGATAGCACTTTAGGTTAAACTAAAGCAAAAAATAGAGGCTATCTTTAATTGCCGATTTCAACTATAATTTGTATAGTAGTTTAAAATGCAGCCATAAGGAACAAATTCATGGTCTTTGTAGCAACCTGGATGCAGCTGGAAACCGTCATACTAAACACAGGAACAACTGAATACTGCATGCTCACATTCATAAGTGGCTCCTGAAAACTTCACACTAGCACAAAGGTGGGATTGGCAGAAGGAGAGAGGAAGGAGGAGGACACGTGGCAGCACACACTGGATACCTGTTCCACTATTGGGGGAAACAGGACCGGCTTCTAGCCCAAACTTAACCTACATGCAGCCTACTTATGTAGTAAACCCCTGCTTATACCCTACAACTCTAAAATGAAATATACATATGAGAGGAGACCCCTAAAAAACAGAATTATCTTTTGAGGGGTGAACCCTTTGTAGTTCACTTGGAGTTTGTTCCTCTAGATCAAATGTTGAACCAAAGTTTTGAGAAGATAGCGTCACGATTTGCAGAAGAAAAGCCCCAAGTTGTGGCAAACAAGTGACTGGTTCTTCCACCATGACAGGGCGCCTGCCCACACCATGTTGAGTGTTTTGCAGTTTTTGACTAGAATCAGCATGATCCCCATGCCACCCTCCCTGTTCATCTGATCTCATACCAAGCAACTTTTTTTGTTTGTTTCCTGGATAAAAAAAGTCTTCAAAGGAGAATGTTTTGCTGATGTGGAAGAAGTGAAACAACATGGCCAGCCTCGGTGACTCAGCCTGTAATCCCAGCACTTTGGAGCTGAGGCGAGTGGATTGCCTAAATCCGAGGGTTCGAGACCCAGCCGGGCAACTTGGCGAGACCTCATCTCTACAATAAATCAAAAATTAGCTGGGGCGTGGTAGAGCGGGATGTAGTTTTGGCTACTTGGAAGGCTGAGTCGGAAGGATGGCTGGAGCCCAGCAGGTCGAGGCTGCAGTGTCTGGGAGCGTGCCACTGCACTCCAGTGTGGGCGACAGAGTGAGACTCCAACTCAAAAACAAACAAAAACAGAAGCATTAAAAGACATCAAAATTGAGTTCAGAAACCAAGAAGAAATGTCTTGATGAGTGTATTGCATCAAACGGAGGATACTTTGAAGGTGACTGAAGTTTAAACATTTAAGAATAAATAAGCAATTTTTTATAAATAACTTCTGAGATGTTGGGGGGGCATTCCCTCCTCATGTGTCATAATGAAATTTTTTTCCTTGCTGTACTTCATCAGAGTTTTGACAGAAGAAAACAGAAAAGTAGTCAGCCAGAAGCAGTGGAAGAATCTCTCAATTTCAGAAAAGAAGAATGGTTTTCTCATTGATGTCTTGTGAATGAATGTTAGTTTATTTTGAAAACTTGGCCTCCAGAGAAAGTATTATTGCTTTTCTTTTCCTATGATTTGATTAGACCTACACAAATGTTAGTATTCAGTGCAAGATTTTTGAGTCCTGTCTTAAGTAGACAATATTTTCTGTTTTGCTCTTTACTCATTATATGACAGTGTACTTTTCTCTCATAGTAGTTAGTGGCAGGCTTATGAAAAATTTAATAAGAGAAACCAAAAAGTTAATTATGTAATTCAGTTATATTTCTGACAAATAAATACTACCATGTAGCACATATCTGCTATGTAATTGGAAGCCTTTCTGCTGCTTTTTTCTCCTCTTACTCTAGTTAGTGCCCTGAAATCTCAATATAATGTTTGCCACTGTCTGTCAAGTTGATGAGTCAAGTAGCCATGAGGGAAATAGTTCAAAATGAAGTCAAAGGATAATATGGGATCAAGGCAGACAAAAAGATCCTGCTTCTCCAAGGACTGATAGAAAAGAAAGAAACTCAGCTTGTAACTACAGGTTTCTTTTCATGAGGTGATAGTCTAGCTAGAACATGGCCCTGAACCATGAGTTGAAGTAGA